GCCGCACCCCACCCCAGAGCTGGCCGCAGCTCCGTTGCACCCGGCGCCCACCCCAGAGCCGGCTGCAGCTCCGTTACACGTGGCCCTGGATGCCCACCCCAGAGCTGGCTGCAGCTGTGTTACGCCCGGCCCCCAGGGCCTACCCCAGAGCTGGCCGCAGTTCCGGTATACCTGGCTCTGCTGCCAAATCCAGAGCTGGCTGCAGTTCCATTGCGCTCGGCCCACGGCGCCCACCCCGAGCCAGCTGCAGCTCTGTTACACCCGGCCCCTGATACCCACCCCAGACCTGGCCGCAACTCTGTTACACCTGGCCCCCGGCACCTATCCCAGAGCTGGCTGCAGCTCCATTATACCCAGCCCCGAAGCCCACCCCAGACCTGGCTGCAATTCTGTTACACCTGCCACTGGCACCCATCGCAGAGCTGGCTGCTGCTCCGTTACGCCCAGCCTCTGACGTCCACCCCAGACCTGGCCGCAATTCCGTTACACCTGGCCCCCAGCACCTATCCCAGAGCTGGCTGCAGCTCCATCATACCCAGGCCCTGGCACCCATCCTAGAGCTAGCAGTAACTCCATTATACCCAGCCTCTAATGCCCACCCCAGAGCCAGCTACAGCTCCATGACACGTGACCCCCCCCCAGCACCCACCCCAGAGCTGGCCACAGCTGTTTTACCTGGCTCCTGGTGCCCACCCCAGAGCTGACTGCAAGTAAGATACACCTGGCCCCCAGTGCCTCCTCTGCAGCTCTGTTACATGCAATAGTCAGCACCCACCCTAAAGCAGGTTGCAGCTCTGGCCCCCAGTGCCCACCCCAGAGCCAGCCGCAGCTGTGTAGCACCCAGTCCTCAGCATAGACTCCAGAGCTGGCCACAGCTCCATGACACCCGCCCCAGAGCTGGCTGCATCACCGTGACACCCAGTTCCTGGTGCTCACCCCAGAGCTGGCCACAGCTCCAGTCTCACCTGCCGTCTCCTCCATGCAGAAGGACGCCTCCCTGAAGACCCCAGAGCGGCTGGAGCAGCGCCTGAAGCAGTCGGGCAAGCGGAAGCGGGGCGAGGGCAGCGGCTCAGAGGATGGGCCAGGCCGTGCGGGCAGCTCGGAGAAGGGCCGCGGGCGGCGCCCGGGGGACCGGGCTCTACGCAAGCCGGGCAAGCGGCGGAGGAAAGAGGTGAGGCTTCCCAGGGGGCCACTTTCCCACCTGCCTCAGTTTTCCCCTGGCAGTCGGGGACTCGCGCTCTATATGGGGCTCATGAGACGCGCTAGGGAGGGCTGCTTCTGCCTCCCGAGGGGGCGGGGCCGCTGGCCTGACCCCACCCCCTTTCCCCGTCTCTCTCCCCACCCCCA